ACGCTCTTACATGGGTGTGATGAATGTTGCAGCGAGGAGAAGGCTGGAGGCAGTGGAGATGTCATGTCTGAGGGCAGTGTGGTGTGAATATAATGCAGAGAATTCGTAGTTTGGAAGTTAGGAGGAGGTGCGGGATTACCAAAACTGTTGTCCAGAGGGCTGAGGAAGGGTTGTTGAGGTGGTTCGGACATGTAGAGAGAATGGAGCGAAACAGAATGACTTCAAGAGTGTATCAGTCTGTAGTGGAAGGAAGGCGGGGTAGGGGTCGGCCTAGGAAAGGTTGGAGGGAAGGGGTAAAGGAGGTTTCGTGTGCGAGGGGCTTGGACTTCCAGCAGGCATGCGTGAGCGTGTTTGATAGGAGTGAATGGAGCAAATGGTTTTTAATACTTGACGTGCTGTTGGAGTGTGAGCAAAGTAACATTTATGAAGGGATTCAGGGAAAACGGCAGGCTGGACTTGAGTCCTGGAGATGGGAAGTACAGTGCCTGCACTCTGAAGGAGGGGTGTTAATGTTGCAGTTTAAAAACTGTAGTGTAAAGCACCCTTCTGGCAAAACAGTGATGAAGTGAATGATGGTGAAAGTTTTTCTTTTTCGGGCCAGCCTGCCTTGGTGGGAATCGGCCAGTGTGTTAATAAAAAAAAAAAAATTGTGAAGGTAATAAAACAACAAAAATTTTTCTGATCAGTACTTACTGAGATACTGTGATGGGAAGTTGACCCAAAATGACTGGGTGGCGGCAACATCAGCGACTTCCGCAAAATCGCATTTTTTTATTTTACGTTTTTTATACTTTTTTTCTTTTCTAATTTTTTTTCTTTTTCTGGCAACATTTGTGGCCTGTGAGACCAATATAATGTATATTGTATAAGTATACACTCACTGTATTCAACACAATAACTGCACTAATTTGTTTATCATTATATTGCTGACAAGACTTGTTTTCAAGTTTACTGTAAACAAAATGATGAGAATATTAGTGCGGTTATTGTGTTGAATACAACGGTACCATATAGTACCATATGGTACAGTGGTGCCAAAGGGTGCAATGGTGCCATATGGTAACAGTGGTACTACATAGTGCAGAGTACCATATGGTACAGGGTACCATATGGTACAGGGTACCATATGGTACAGGGTACCATATGGTACAGGGTACCATATGGTACAGGACACCATATGGTACAGATACAGGGATCCCTATGGAAATAAGTCACCCTGACATTTTTGGGTTATCCTAGGATTTTATACATATGCTGCTATTTATCATAATCAATGTAACTGTATTTGTGTACACCTGAATAAACTTACTCAAGTGCATGTGGCATCATAAGTAAGTTTATTTAGTTATACACAAATAAAGTTACATAGAATATCATACTTAGCAGCATATTTTTGGAGAACCTAGGATAACCCAAAAAAGTCAGACAGACTTATTTCCATTAGAGTCCCTGTACCCTGTACTATATGGTACAATGTACCAAATGGTATAATGTACCATATGGTATAATGTACCATATGGTACAATGTACCATATGGTACATTGTACCATATGGTATCATTGTACCATATGATACCATTGTACCATATGGTACAATTGTACCATATGGTACAATGGTACCATATGGTTTAAAACCATAGAATTTCTCTTCAGATCCACTTCCATCAGTCTTAGAACCGTAAGTTGTGAAGAGGAGAGTCAGAATTCGCCCCGAGAGTGAGTGGGGAGTGAGAGCTTCCTTGCCGCCAGGCATGATGAACAAAGCTACTTTGGCGGCGTTCCCACAATGCCATGCACGCGTCCAGATTTTTTCTATAGTGCGCACACTGACCACCCAGACCCATTCTCTCAGATGTAGGCCTACCAGCCTTCTCGCGCTAAATTTGGCGCCTCTAGAATTTTGGCGTAGATCTAAGGTTTGGACCCTCAACTTAAAGCCGTAGATGTATGGCACGGACCCTCAAGGGGTTAATGCCAAAACTTCATCTACATCATTTGAGGCATTTAGTAGTGCCAAGCATATCAGCGACACTGTGATATACAGGCCAACCCTCCCCCCCACCCCCTTGGCCTGAATGAGTTTTCTTGGCTTCTTTCGAACACCAGAATTCGTTACTTTGGCTTCTTTTAAATACTCTGTTGCATCTATATAGGTTATAACCTGGGATCTCGTCTTTCACAGACCCATCTGCTGACAGGTCCACTCCCAAATGTCTGAATGCATTCACTTCCTGCATGCTCCCTCCTTCCAATGTGATATCCAATCCTTCTATTTAGTGATCCCAATCACCTTGCTCTTTCCTATGTTCACTTCTAATTTCCTTCTTTTATATACCCTCTAAACCCTTAAACTGTCCAAACGTAGATCTACGTTCGATTTAACATGCTCTATGTATAAAAAACGTAATCTACATTAGGAATGCTATGCACGTGAATGTAGATCTACGTTTGGACAGTTTAAGGGTTAAATTCGTCCATTAATGTCTGCAATGTCTCTTCAGAATCTTCCAACAGCAAAACAGCAACTGTGACAACTCTCACTTTTGCTGGGCAATAATCTCCCTCTTTCCTACATACTGTATTTTAATCTGAGCCTCACCGTCCTCGTAAAAACTCTTAACTGTTTTCAGAAACCTACCACCTATTTCACACACTTGCAACATCTGCCACACTACTCCCCTATCTACCTCATCATATGCCTTTTCCAAATCCATCAATGCAACAAAAACCTCTTTACCCTTATCTGAAAACTGTTCACTTACATGCTTCACTGTAAACACATCCTCTGCCCTTCCTAAAGCCTCTTTGATCGTTTGTGATCCTGTAGTCTTTCTCTTCAACATTTTATCAGGTATACTCAACAGGCTTATTCCCCTATAATTTTTACACTCTCTTTTGTCTCCTTTGCCTTTATACAAAGGAACTATGCATGCTCTCTGCCAATCCTTAAGTACCTTGCCCTCTTTCATACAGTTATTAAATAAAAGAACCAACCATCCCAAAACTATCCCCACCTGCTTTTGTCTTGATCCCATCAATCCCAGCTGCTTTACTCCCTTTCATTCTACCCATCACCTCCTGTACCTCCCCCACACTCATCTCTGGCTTTTCCTCACTCCTAAATGATGTTATACCTCCCAGGCCAATGCACAAAATCACAACTTCCCTATCTTCATTAGCAAATAACAGCTCCTCAAAATATTCCCCCCATCTTCCCGATACCTCCAATTCTCCAAGTAATAACTCTCCTCTTCGATTCTTAACTGTCAAATCCATTCGTTCCCTATATGGACATAAGAAAGGAGGAACATTGCAGTAGGCCTGTTGGCCCATACTGGGCAGGTCCTTCACAAGTCCAACCCACCAACAGAATATTTGTCCAACCCACTTTAGTTCTACCCTAACAATAAGCTCTGATAAATCCACTAACTCATGTGCAAGTCCCAATCAGATCCAACCCCTCTCACTCATGTATTTATCCAACCTAAATTTGCAACTACTCACAGTTTTACCTTCAATAACCCTACTAGGCAGATTGTTCCACTAATCAACTACCCTATTTCCAAACCAATACTTTCATATATGCTTTCTAAATCTAAACTTATCTAATTTGAATCCATTATTGCAGGTTCTCTCTTGGAGAGATATCCTTAAGTCCTTATTTATATCCCCTGTGTTAATACCCATCTTCCACTTATACACTTAGATCATGTCTCCCTTCATTCATCATCTTACAAGTGAATGTAATTTAAGGGTCTTCAATCTTTCTTCATACAGAAGATTTCCAAGGCTATGAATTAACCCCCTGACTATCGCAACCCCCAATCCTGAGGTGTCTCCTGGTGTCGCAAATTTAAAAAAAAAAAAAAATTCTTATGAAATGATAGAGAATCTTTTCCCGATTGTAATGACACCAAAAAAAACGAAATTTGATAGAAAACTGATGGAATTACACTCTCGCGAAGTAAGCGACCTCGGCGATATTTACAAATCGGCGATTTCGCCCACTTTGAGCCCTATTTTCGGCTAATTCCATTGTTCCAGTCGACCAAACTCATAGCTATTTCTTTAGAACTCCGTTTTTTCTATCGATTGAGTACAAGAAACTGCCCATTTACCTATTTCAACTACCCAATAATGTGGTCAGAAATTTGCAATTTGGCAAATTTCACGAAAATTAAAAAAATATGACAATTTCAAAATAAGGTCCAGAATGAACAATGCAGACATTCCTGGCTCTAAAATAACATTTTCTTTGTTCATCAGTCATGTCTCCAGGCCCCTCTGATATTACTCTTGCTTTCTATTTTGAATTTTTATTCTCACAAAAAATAGAAGATTTACTATTATGCAGATTACTGAAATACTAATAATTGTGTAAATAACATCAACCCATTCATGACTGCATATTAGAATGGCTAGTTGGACATTTACAGGACAATGACATCATTTGTTTACTTTTGAACAACGGCAAAAATCAAACATTTCCCCTACTTTGAGCTCCATTTCCAGGTTCTTTTTATAGTAAAATCAATCAAAATCACCTCTATTTCTATAATATGTTTTCCATTCTATCAAATGAGACCAAGAAAATGACAATACAACCACAAATGCTATACGAAAATAGATCACAAAGTTGGCATTTTAATTAAAAAAAAAATGGTTGGAGTTTTTTTTTCTCATTATGCACTGCGTGCTCCAGGATTTTTTTTATATGGTGCACACTGACCACACAGACCCATTCTCTCACATGTGGGCCTACCAGCTTTCTCCTGCTTGATTTGAAGCCACTAGAATTTATGAGTATATATACGTCAAACACGGTACCTCGTAAGATGTATATATACGACCGCGACAGTCAAAGGGTTAAGCAGGGTGTGGTGTGTCACTGTACTTCTCAACTGATGGTCCAATATTGTCATGGATAATCGAGAATATGACTAAATTCATTAATTAAATTCATTATGGTGAAGAGTATAATGAAGATTATTGATAACTCACTGGCTGTTGTGTTGACTGCACACACAGAGTTGTCATGATACCATCTTCGTCTTAATCTTACATTAACATTTCCTCTTGAGTAACCCTTCTCCTCATCTGAAAAATAATAAATATTACATACACTATATACTATATGCAGTGCATGGCTGAAATCGCAAATTCATGAGCAATGGAATCTGAAATTCAATTATAAAACATTTTAACCCTTTGAGAGTCCAAGAATTTCAAAATTGTTTTTATTGTTTCTTATGAAATAGTAGAGAATCATTTTATGAATGTAATAAAACAAAAAGTATGAAATTTGGTGAAAAACTGATGAAATTACACTATCGCGAATTTTACTTTGTCAGTGATATTCACGCATTGGTGATTTTGCCCACTCTGACTCCTATTTTAGGCCAATTTCATTATTCCAGTTGACCAAATTCTTAGCTATTTTGCTAGTATTACTTCTATTTTATCGAGTGAGAACAAGAAACTGCCCAATCAACTATTTCAACTACCCAATAAAGTGATGAGAAATTTATAATTTGGCCAATTTTACACAAAGTTCAAAATATTTCAGTTTCAAAATAGGGTCCAGAATAAACAATGCAGGCATTTCTGACACTAAAATAACATTTCCTCTGTTTATTAGTTACATTTCCGTTTATTAGTTACATTAACCGTTTACGGGTTAATCACATTACCAATGTGGATGACATCCTTCCCTGTCACATTATGTAGCAAGAGGATGACTGGTCATGTGCATGAAGCTGGGTGATGCAACGTGACTCATGTATGTATCATGCAGTGTTCCAAACTGAAGTTTTTAACCTATAGACCTCACACATCACAAAGGTAAGCGCTTGTTACCAATACTATTGAATGTACATTTATATGTATGCTAATGAGTACTGCCCATGTGTGGACAGTCCATCCACTATCCTTCAGTTCACCTAGAGATACAGCTCCAACTGGAATACACACTGCCATGTAGGACAGAGGTAAGTAATTCAGAATATCTGGGGATGGGATGGCAGGTTCTTGGACTGGATTCAACAAATGACCTGATAGTATAATTAACTGATCAGTCATATATACACACACACACACACCACTACCCTACACAGAGGTGAACAAGTGGTATGTGTCAGGTGTAAGGTGAGGTGGAGAACAAGTGAGGAATGTCAGGTGTAAGGTAAGGTGGAGAACAAGTGAGGAATGTCAGGTGTAAGGGAAGGTGTGTCAGGTGTTTACCTGGAGTTTACCTGGAGAGAGTTCCGGGGGTCAACGCCCCCGCGGCCCGGTCTGTGACCAGGCCTGGAGGTGGGGTGGAGAACAAGTGAGGTGTGTTGGGTTAAAAATACCATAGGAGTTTTCTGTTAAGAAGTTCAGCTAAATTGTTGGTTATACCAATGATCAGCCGGGCTGTGGTACATACATTAGACTGTATGCGGCTAACACCAAAAACCTGGTTAATCAGAACATCCAGCAGGAGGCCTGGTGAGACAGGGCTGCAGTAACCTGTGAAATACTCTTCAGGTAACCTTCTGGAAACTTACATTCAAACTTGTCGTTTTCCACACACCCCCATGTCTGCCATTCAAGCAAGGCAGCACGTGGTAGGGCTGGCACCACAACATATGTTGAGATCTGTGACTCGCTGAGACGTGCCATCATCCTCCTGGCTACAGCAATATCTGAGAGTCTCGTCACATAACACACACCCTGCAAAATGAAATATAATTTTACAGTGGACCCTCGGTTATTGGCTGTTCTGGATATCGGCCAATTCTGTTTTTGAGCACTTTATTGGCCGAAATTCTATCCCGGTTATCAGCTGTTATTTCAGAAATCAGCAATATTGGATGTGTAATAAATCACTCTTGAGCATGTTAAAGTCTTATTTTAGGTTAATATAGACATTTTCATTAATCCATCTATGATATTTTCTTCAAAATTACAGAAGAAACACATTACATAGTATGTATATAAAAACTTGCAATGTTTATATGCGATGTGTGTTTAATAATAATCACTCTTGGGTACATTGTCTTATTTTAGGTTAATATAGACATATTCATTAATCCATCTATGATATTTTCTTCAAAATTATATTTGAAACACATTACATAGTATATAAAAACATGCAACATTTATATGCAATGGATGTTTACCCCTAAACGGTCCCAACAAATATATACGTTCTTACGCGTAGCGCCCCAAGCATATATATACGTTTTAATTTTCCTATCTCCAAATTTGGCACAAATGCCCTGAGGTGCCTGGTCAGCATAGAATAGGTCTTAGCACTCGGTGTGCACCATATTAAAAAATCTGGGACCACTTAGTACCTTGTGGGAGTGCCAGTTAAATTGAGCACCAGCTAGAGCAACCAGTGCGGCAAACACCATGGATTCACTGATGTAATGTCATACTAACACCCATCTTTTAAGAGGAAACTGATGTTAACCCCAAGTTTAGGGTCTGTCGATCTTTCTCTATCTCTGTTTCTATCTGGCTCTATCTGTCTCTGTCTTTGTCTGTCTCTATCTCTTTCAATCTGTCTCTATCTCTGTCTCACAGGTACACATAAATACAAGCTTACATAGTGTAAATTACCTAGGATAACCAAAAAATTCCAGACAAAGTACTATATTATTTTTATTATTTTTATTATCACACTGGCCGATTCCCACCAAGGCAGGGTGACCCGAAAAAGAAAAACTTTCACCATCATTCACTCCATCACTGTCTTGCCAGAAGGGTGCTTTACACTACAGTTTTTAAACTAACAACCTAACAACCTGTCGGTATTTTATACCATTTTAATGTTCAGTTTTTAAACTGCAACATTAACACCCCTCCTTCAGAGTGCAGGCACTGTACTTCCCATCTCCAGGACTCAAGTCCGGCCTGCCGGTTTCCCTGAACCCCTTCATAAATGTTACTTTGCTCACACTCCAACAGCATGTCAAGTATTAAAAACCATTTATCTCCATTCACTCCTATCAAACATGCTCACGCATGCCTGCTGGAAGTCCAAGTCCCTCGCACACAAAACCTCCTTTACCCCCTCCCTCCAACCTTTCCTAGGCCAACCCCTACCCCGCCTTCCTTCCACTACAGACTGATACACTCTTGAAGTCATTCTGTTTCGCTCCATTCTCTCTACATGTCCGAACCACCTCAACAACCCTTCCTCAGCCCTCTGGACAACAGTTTTGGTAATCCCGCACCTCCTCCTAACTTCCAAACTATGAATTCTCTGCATTATATTCCAGACAAAGTGCTATATTCTGCTTGAAAATGTGAGTAAATGTGATGATGCAGTCTTGTGGCTCTCTCTGAGACAGAGAGCTAGATGGATAGACAGATAGACAGGGAGCTTGACAGACAGACATGTTTGTGTACCAGCGAAAAGAAAGAGAGGGCTGATACTCATCAAATGTCACCTCTAATCTTTTCTTATCAAGTGTTATCACTGCACCCTCGCATATGCTCATCAATCGTCAGCTCTTATCAAATGTTATCTTATCATACACAAATAACCCACACATAGAAGAGAGTTGCTTACAACGACGTTTCGGTCCGACTTGGACCATTTACAAAGTCACACTAACGAGAAGTAGAGCAGCAAGGGGTATATATAGGCAGGAAGAGGTAGTGGTGGTGGTAGTAGTAGTAGAGGTAGTAGTAGTAGTAGTGGTGGTAGTAGAGGCTGTTAAGCGTCATATTCTCTCCAACTTTTTTTATGTTCTTCCCTCTTTTAAACCCCTCTTTCGATCTTATGAGGCTGCTCTTATTGCTACCCGGCGTCGTAAGAATCAGCTTCGCTTCCTACGTGACTGTCTTGCTGAACAAGTTCTACCCCCTTCCTTCTCCCACTTCCTGAAACCCAACCCACTGGGCACTCCCTTTCCTGATCATGACCGTCTCCTACTTCAACAGCTCATTCTTTCTACTAAGTCTCAGGTTGAAGATGCCTTCTTTACTTTTCGTCAATGTCAACTTGCTCTCTTTGTGGCTCTACCACAAGATCTCTGTAACCCTCTCTCTACCATTGCCGTTGACACTGCTTGCCTGAATACACAAATTCATTCTTCTAAGCTACAGAATAAACTTCAACGTCTCATCTCAGCTAGCCCTTGGTCTAAATTCTCCCTCACTGTGTTACTAACTTGTCTTCTGTCTCACTCTCTCAGTACGAGCTTGAACTTCTTGGTTTTGGCCTTTCCTTTGCCACTTCACCTGCCCCTCGCGCTGGTATTGCCCTGATTACCTCTTTTGATTCCTTTCGTCAATCTCGCTCCCGTAATCTTCCTGACTTGACCACTTTTCGTGGCACTCTCCTTCCTGCTCTTTATAGTCTGTTTTCTAAGAATCACCACCTTCCGCGCCGTTACCAACTTGCCCTTTCTTCTCTTAAATCTAACACTAACATTGTCATACTATCTTCTAAACAAAGGTAATTCGGTAGTTATCCTTGGTCGCGAGGATTACCTCCGTAAAGCTGATGTCTTGCTCTCTGACTCATGTACCTACACTCCTCTCGTTTCCAACCCTCTTGATTGCATCAAGAGAACTTTCAACAAGAAACTATCCCTCTTCTCCGACCTCTGTCCCCTGACTTTGACCTTGTTCAACGGTTTCGTGTTCATCTGTCCCTCTCTTCCCTATTTCTATGGCCTTCCCAAAACTCAAACCTGATATTCCTCTTCGTCCTATCATATCCTCTAGAGGTTCTGTCTCTTTTCTCTTGCTTTTTTGGTTTGGGCCCAAAAACCCTCACTCCCTTTTTGGTATTTTTTCTCCTGCCCACCTCCGTCACTCTCAAGACTTCATTGAACGTGTTCGCTCTCTCCCGGCCTGTAGATGCTTAGTCTTAACGTTGAGCCCCTCTTCACCAATGTCCCTCTTGATGATGTCCTTGATTTCCTTAGAGAAAAGGGCCCAAATTGAAGGGTTTCTACATCTCTATACCTTTTGATGTCTTTCTTGATCTTACCGCCTCTGTGTGGACTCTAATTCCTTTTCTTTCCAAGGGAAAAATTATTCTCAAACCCTTCGGTGGGGCTAGGGGCTTCTATCCTGTCCTTGCTAATCTTACATGGAATACTTCGAAGCTGGTTCTTCTTCCTACCATCGATGTGCGCCCTTCACTCTGGCTCCGCTATGTTGATGACATCTTTGCTCTGTGGCCATGACTCCGTCTCTTCAACCTTTTCTTGAAGCCCTTATAATCTTGCCCTTCCATTAAGTTTAAAGCTGAATGGGATCTAATTCCTTGCTTCCTTTCCTTGATGCCATGTCCCCCTCTCAGATACCGTTTTTCCTTTTCCGCTTACTGCAAACCTATGCACAGTGGCTTTGTACATTCACTACTTTTCCTATCATGCTTCCCCGGGTCAAGAAAGTGTTCTTATTTCCCTCTTTCTCCATTGCCCTCCACATCTGTGATCCTCAGTTCCTTCCAGCAGAAATTTTTCCACTCTTCATAATTCGTTTTCCTGACTTGGCTACCCTTCCATTTCATAGACTCTGCCCTCTCACGTGCTAAACGAATTTCTTCTCTCCCAAACTCTCTACTCGGGAACTCTTCTGTCCTCTGCCCTTTCCCACATTTCCGGTCTTTTCTAATCTCAACAATTCTCTCCGCCCTTAGACATAAAGCTTATTTCCGCCAGACTAACACTCTTGCACTAATCTTGTCAACCTCTCCTCCCCCTTTCAGATTTCCTGGTGTCTACTTATTTCTTGCTCCTCCTGTCCTCTTCAATATGGGAAGTGTTGATCCTTTCTGACAGATTAGGGCACAAAAATAGGGTTTGGCTTTTCCGCACTAACAATGCTATTTTCTGTCACGTCGAGATACAAACCACTATTGATGGTCTTCTGCTAAACTGTCTTCCTACTTCCAACTTAACAGTTGCCCCTAGTTGAATCCTCCTAATACACAACTTTCCTTGTATAATCTTAGTCGTGGCTTCGCTCTGTCGATGCCTTCCTCTCCAATACATTTTAAAAAAGGTACCTGGGTGTTAGTAAACTGGTGTGGGTGATCCCGGGGGACAGATTTGAGGACCCAATGGAATAAGTTAGACAGCAGTCGATGACGACTGGGTTTCTTTGGGTATTCTGGGGGCTACCTCCGGGTTAAAATCAACGAATCTTAGTTACTGTCAGGGTGGACTTTGTTTTTCAGCTTCAAGGGGTCTTATTTTACCTATTATTGTTACACATTCTTTACTCTCCTCCTCTTCCTCTTCCTTCCTCCTCCTTTACTTCTTCTTTATCTTCTTCTTCTTCTTCTTCTCTTCTACTTTCTCTTCTACTTCTTCTTCTTTTTCTTTCTTTTTCCTTCTTTCTCTCTTCTTACTTCTTCTTCTATTCTTCTTCTCTTCTTCTTCTTCTTCCTTCTCCTTTCTTTACTCTTCTTCTATTCTTCTTCTACTTTCTTCTTTTAATTTCACATCTTTTTCATTCTTCTTCTTCTTTTCTTCTCTACTTTTCTTCTGTTCTTCTTTCTTCTTTCTTTCTTCTTCTTCTTTTTTCTTCTTCTTTACTCTTCTTCTACTTTTCTCTTCTCTACTTTTCTTCTACTTCTTCTTCTTCTTACTCTTCTTCTTTTTTATTCTTCTTCTAATTCTTCTTACTTTTTCTCTTCTTTACTTTCTCTACTTCCTTTTCTTCTTCTTCTACTTTTTCTATTCTTCTTTCTTTTCTCTACTTCTTTACTTTCTTTCTTCTTCTACTTC